ATGTACGGGACTAAAAGCGATTTTCTTTTCATAGAAATGGGATAACTTAAAAAAAAAAATCAGTTGAAAAAAAGGGGGGGAGTGTAGTGGTACACTGTGGTTGATAATTGAGATAAGAAACATTTACAACATGATAGCTGCAAAGTTTGAAGTTTTGATAAGTAATTTGTTGATTTGACCATAACAGGGACATTGACCCTGCAATAAAATGACGCGTACCATTTCGACAAAAAATTTCTAGTAAACACGTGTCGTGACAAACTTTTTGGTTAAATTATTTTGTCGATATCTATAACTCTTTCTATGAAGAAGCGATATGAACTTAATGTAAAAAATCACAACATGACCTTGACCTTTGACCTTGACCTAATTTTCTTATTTTTGGATCAAGGACCTCAAATCAAAAGATCCTAGGTCTCTATCACTTATGGTTTACAAGATAGAAATGCATATCACTTATATCAAATGCATAAGGGGAAATAACTCTCATATGGAATGTTCGTATTCGGTTAAGCAGGGTGAATTTCAAAGGCGCATAAACTGTTCGATATCATATACCAAACATCTAAGCGACATCTTGCGAAACAAAATTTATACGCAAGAAATAAAAGTGGCGGAAGAAGAAAAAAAAATAAATAATTTAAAACCAATTGTTCAGAGAACAATTGAAGGACTTTCCACATCAATTTTCTAAATGATTGATAAGAAGCTACTTCCGGCTTACTCAAAGGTATTATTGGCGCCCAAGCATAGATTTTTTCATAGTGATTCAATAAATATATGGGTTCTTTATATTTTTGCCTGAAATAAGGGAGATATTTTGCTATTTCCGGTTTAAATAATGTCATATTCATTCTCATATGAAAGCTTTATTCACACAGATTCCAAAAATATATGGTTTCTATATATGTTTGCCTGTAAGGAGGAAGATATTAGGTACTTCCGGTTTAATCAATGTCACTTCCGGTCTCAAATGATAGGTTTCTGTATTGGTATTTAAAAAAATATAGTTTCTATGTATTTTTTTCATGAAATAAGTGCAAAAATGGCTACTTCCGGTTTACTTAAGGTCACTTCCGGTTGATAGTTTTCAAGGTCATATGTCACCCAACATTTTGCAAAAGACCCTATGGCTTTATCATATACCAAATAGGAGGAGTAATCAATTACCCTTAAATTTAACCATTTCAGGGACAATAATTCCTATAAGATGTCATTGGATTGTTTCAGACCAAATGTATCATATCTCAATCACAATTAGGCAAACATTTTGCACTAGTTCTTTTATATATATCTTTAAAAGTGACAGAGGAAATCAAATAACAAGGAAAAGTCAAAGTTTAGAATATGACCTTGACCTTTGACCTTGGCCTCATTTTCATTTGAATGAACCAAGGCAATTTTAAATTTGTGAAGCTTTTTGGTTATAAATAATCCTTACATATGTATTTAATGTACTTTAAATGGAAAGAAAAATTACAAATAACATATCATATTAGTTTAAAAGGGTCTTAGGCCAAGTAAGACTGAAAATAATTTAGAGTCAGTTTAGGCCGTAGCACATATTTACATTTAAAAATGCATATTGAAGCTATAGGAAATAAATATTTGTGTCTTTTTTATCATTTCTATACTCAGGTGACATGATACAATAAATCTGAGCACAAAAAGACTCTTGCATTCAACTTTTTTTTGCAGACAGTATGGTCTGACACAAAGATTTTTCACTTTTTAGTGAAAAACTTGCATGCAATTTTAGTCTCAACAGGCTTATATTTGAACAACTTGCTATCCTACAGAAGAAAAGAAAGATATTATGTGAAATGAAACAGGTACAGAAGACATTGTAAAGTGCTTTTTATACAAATTTAGTGAGGTCTTTATTATGGACTTCAACTTTTATGTACCAAGCTCCTCACAATTAACTTGATCCAAACTAGGCGTTAGACGAGGGTCATTTATACAACACATTTTGCACACATTGTCTGAGATAATCTTCTTTTCTGTAGATTCAGAGTTCAAAAATGAGTAATACAACTGGATTAAAGCATAGAAACACAAATATTGACACATGAAAACCTGTCAGATAGAAAGTCAGAATGCCACTAATGCATCAAAATTGAAGAAGCTATGTAATGCTTATTTTGACCATATAATGCCAAAATTGGTCATTTTTGCAGAAATTCTATCAAATAAAAGTTTAAATCCTTTAGTTTCATGCTATTTGACAAATTGACACCATCAAATCATTCAGGGAAGTTGCCAAAGTACAGATTCTATATTTACTGATTTCACCTCTTAGGTCCGAGTACACAGTTATTTCGTAGTGCATTTCTTTTAGACAATAAATGAAAATTAAAAAAATCCCACCTGCGCTTTCTCAATAATATTTTTACAGTGTGTTGTACTACTTTTGGGACAAATTATATTAAAATTATAGAAAACTTCATCGGCTCTAACTCAAAATATGGACAATTTTATGTTAAGGGGGTCTTGAAATCTTTTGACAGCTTCCGAAGTGCTAATTTTTAACCTTTTTCAGCTGGACCAAATCACTACTTTACCTTAAAATTCATGACCCAAATTTTTTCAAAGTGTAATTTCATCCCCCTACTTGCTATTTGAGGCATAAAACATGGAGAAATAAATTTGAAAGGGGTATAAAAAAAACTGGCAAGTAACACACTGTCCACACTAGGGACTATATTTGTGGACAACGAAAATCAAAGGACGATAACTGTGTACTCGGACCAACTCTAGAACGGTTGTGTATAAGTTTTATAACATTTGGTTGAGACAAACTAAAGTTAGAAAACGGAAACGAAAAATTCAGCAATTTTTATGTTTATAAAGGGACATAACACAAGAATGGTAAAAGTGTCGCCACCAAATTTCGTACTTAATCTGTATTATGTAGTAATAAGCATTGTGTATCAGTTTCATAACATTTGGTTGAAGAAAACTAAAAAGTAAGCAAACGGAAACAAAAAAATTTATTCATCTTAGTTTTAATTTGTGGTAATGAATATTGTGTATAGGTTTCATAATGTTTGGTTGGGGCAAACTTAAGTTACAGAATGGAAACTAAAAATTTTGCAATCTTTCGAATTATAAAGGGGCATAACTCAATAATGGTTAAAGTGACACTACCCAAATTCAACTTGATCTGTGTTTTATCAGTGGAAGTCAAAATTAAACATTGCATTGTACAAAGCATTGATTGTAGTTGATTCAACTATAATCATGGACAAAGGAAGACAACTCCAATTTTAATAAATTGCTTCGGCGAGCGCAGCTGGATATGACCGCAGAGGTCCAACCCTGAACAGTTGGGGCAAAAATGGACGCAATATTCGTGCTTGATACAGGTCTGAATTTGGATTGTAATTAAATATTTGACACATAAAAGGTTTCTGACACAGAATAACAGTAGTCAAACTTAGAATTGGTTATATGATTTTAATTTATATTCAATTTTTTGCTTTTGTGCAATACACTTTGCTGTTGCGAATTGACCCCCCCTCCCCCCACAAAAAAAATAAAAAATTCCCCCCCCCTTTTTTTTTGCTTTTGTGCAATACACTATGCTGTTGCATAATAACCCCCCCCCCACACACACACACACACTTTTGCAAAAAAATAATATTTGAAGAATTTTTCTTTTTTTAATTTCTGAAATCTGAAATGAGAAAAAATTGACCCCCAACAATTTCTTCCCCCCCCCCTTTTCCCCCAAAAAAACTCTTTCCCTCAAGATATGATCATAATCTCAATTCAAATTTCCAATGGAGTTTGCAACCATAATTACCCATTTAAATTTACCATAGTGCTAACTTAATCTATTTTATAATAGGATTTAAAATATGGTGTCAAATCTTTCATATGGATTTTTTTGTAGATATTTTTACTGGTCTTCCTTTATAAATATGCATTTTTTTAAACATAATTTAAAAGCAGTGTAAGGGAGGTTATCAAAACATTGTATTTGGATTACCTCCCTTACACTGCTTTTAAATTGTCTTGATTGTTCATTAACCATTACTTATTCATAATTTAAAAGCAGTGTAAAGGAGGTAATTCAAATGATGTATTTGAATTACCTCCCTTACACTGCTTTAAATTATGTTTTGTACTAAAGTATTTGTCCATTAACCAGGACACCCTTGTTTTTCCCCCTTTTTTGCCCCTCATTTCTAAACGGTTTGAGCCATAACCCCCCAAAGCAAATCCTAACCATCCCTTTGTGGTATGGAAACTTGTGGTATAATGTCAGAGAGATCCATACACCGTTCCACAAGTTATTGTCTGGAAACTAGAAAAATGCTTATTTTCGGCCCCTTATTCCTTAACTATTGGTACCATAACCCCCAAAATCAATCCCAACCTTCCTTTTGTGGTATTTAACCTTATGGTAAAATTTCATAGAGATCCATTCACTTAAACTCAAGTTATTGTACGAAAACCAATGTGTCTTCGGACGATGACGCCGCCAACATCATACCAATATACGACCGCAAAATTTTTCTGCGGTCGTATAAAAATTACTTGATATTTAGGAGAAAATAAAATTTTTGCAATTTTTCCATTCATAAGGGGCATAACTCTAGAACAGTTAAAGTGACGCCACCAAAATTCAAACTTGATCTGTGTTTTGTTGTAATAAGCATTGTGTATAAGTTTCATTACTTTTGGATGAGGCAAACTCAAGTTAGAGAACGGAAACCAATTTTGGGGCATACGGACGGATGTACGTACGTACATACGTTCGTACATACAGACGGACAAGGGTAATACTTAATGCCCCCACAGCTACGGCGGGGGCATAAAAATGATCTTATTGTTACTGGACACTTTCCGTATGAAATCGGGTCCCCCTCTGGAAATACATCTCAGCAATTAGTTTCGGAAGTAACAATAATTATTTCTTATTGTTACTTTTTGCGGGTTATCGTAGCCAATGCCTTCAATTAATTCTTTGTACATAAGGAAAACAAAACATATTACATATTCTTCATGGCAATAAGGCCAGAGGAAGCTTTTATATTTTTTATTCCAGCAAAGTTTGTTAACTACACATTTTATCAAATCAATCATCATGACTAAGAACTGTCTGTTCCTTGACTTTAAAATGGTATTTTACAGAACTCCAGATAACAACAAATGCAAAAAAAAGGAAAAATCAAATTATGGCCATCTTTGAAAATGACTATAAATATATTATCAATAATTACCCACTGTTTTAAATATTACAATTTCTACCATATCCCTTTGTCACATGATGTTGATGAAAAACAAATGAAAATTTAATGATGCATTTATCAATATGAGTTACGACTTATCTCTGTTTAAAATAATAATACAGAAGATCAATAAGACTTACATAACGAACACAAATTATTTAAAGAAAGATAATTTTTAGATCATTATCCCCTCCATGCATATCTGTAACTATTTAATTGACAACGTCTCAATTCAAATATCTGACAACATCTTTTTGTCTTCCTAATTTTTCTCTGTTATCATTGCATTGCTGATGTTCCCTTTTTTCAGATATATTATAAAGTGATTATTTCTTTATGGTAAATTATATAGAGAATATCATATGGATTTTTCAATACCACAGCTGTATCAACCCGAGACACCAATATAATCCCAAGAGCTCTACACGAGGGATTATATTGGTTGAGGGTTGATAAAGAGTGTGATATTGAAAAAGCCATATCATATACACTTTATTATATACATGTACCTCAAGTACAACTAATATAGACATGATAAAGCCCTTGTAACTGTGACTGATATCGATTACATGACGTCATACAGATTAGGGGTTTGATAAAGCCCTTGTAACTGTGACTGATATCGATTACATGATGCCATACAGATTAGGGGTTTGATAAAGCCTTTGCAATCGTGACTGACATCGATATCATCACGGTTGGCTGATACAGCATGATTGCCATCGATTGTATTACACATACAATTTACTTGTATTTACTGCTAAGTATATAATAAAATACAAGCCTTCATTAAAAAAAATAAAATGCCTCTGTCGTAAGCAATGATCTATCAATTAAGTCTGATTGTTAGGGTGAATACATTGTTTTCTATTTTAAATAGCTGACAACCAAAAACAAAATCTTCAAAGTTCATACTTTTAAATATAACTCTTATTTTCATTTAAAAACAAATGTCTGCATACACATTTTAGTGTAAAATTTTCACAACATATATTTTCTCTACATTTGCTGTGTAGAGTTTCCATTCCAAGTTGCATTTTCATCATCATCATCATCATCTTTCATATCTGTTAATCGTCTTACATTTCCCTCTGTCCTAATTGGTCTTCTTTGGTAAGCACTGAAATTAGATCAATACAGTGAAGTTAAGAAAATAAAGTAGCAGAGATGACAACATGTGCTTTAAATTAAAATAAATGGAGAATGTGTCCAAGCGACACAGATGATGTCCCCTTGCATATAATGTTATAAAGGGGCATAACACAAGAACGGTAAAAGTGACACAACCTACACTGGAACTTGATCTGTGTTTTTTGGTAATAAGCATTGTCTATAAGTGTCATAACATTTGGTTGAGGGAAACTAAAGTTAAGGAGCTACCATTTGATTTTTATGGGGGGGGGCTAGGATGAAAAATTTTGTCCTGCCTATTTATTTTTCCCTCTATTCAGTCCTGCCTTTTTATTTTTCACTCTATTCGGTCCTGCCTATTTTTTTTTTAGTTTATCCTGACTTTTTTTTACATAAATTGTCATCCTGCCTTTTTTTTTTGCAAATAATCTCATCCTGCCTTTTTTTTTACTCAAAACTCCTGTCCTGCCTATTTTTTTCAAATTTCATCCTAGCCCCTCCATAAAAATCAAATGGTAGCTCCCTTAGAGAATGGACACTAATTTTGGGACATACGTACGGACAAATGGATGGACAAGGGTAACACTTAATGCCCCCTCTGAAGCAACAGGGGCATAAAAATGATTACAAGGCTAACATAGTGCATTGGTGGTCCTTTTGGAATCAGGACCCATTCAACAACATTCTTGGATTCCAAGTCACATTTTTTCTATTTCATGAAATTTTCATTTTTTTATTATTCTAACCCCTTAATTATGTACTGAGAATTCTTACAATTATGTGTTTGTCCTGTGATGGTTTTCGTTTGTTCTGTTTTACTCAGGGTTATCATCTTTAACGTCTTTGGTAGATATTTGACTCATTGGCATCAAAATATAACTTTTCATTTGTATATCAGGAGCTACAGAAGAGTAAGCAGTTACTGCTCAATTAGTGGGATATGTCACTTGCTCATGACAAGAAAAAAAATCCAGTATAAGGTCAGTAGAACCCAAACAGCTTTCCTATTAGGCAGAGTTTCAAAAGTGTTAATGCTTGTCTAATAATAATGACATTGTCATGGTTCTTTTACATTTTTGACAAACAACAAAAGGGATTATAATATTGTCATAATTGTGATTTTGTGTCTAAAAATAATACTAATTTTGACAATTAGCTTGAAACAGCTTGAGTACCAATCACATATATCTCTCTCCTTAATAAAGATGTCATTTCCAATTTCAAAGATAAATGGAGAATGTGTCCATGGGACACAGACCATACCCCCCCTTTCCATAGAATGTAGGATAGAAAGTCACAGGACAAAAAGTCACAGACAAAAAGTCACGGACAAAAAGTCACAGGACAAAATGTCACAATTCAGTTTTGAGATTATTTTTCTTTAAGCAAGAAAACACTAATTTAAAAAATTAAATTTTTGTTTTTTCTTGAACTATTATATATGAAGCAACTTTGTAATTAAAATTTATTCAATAAATATCAATAATGATCAAATAATTGTTATGAAAACAGAATGTCAAAGTGGCTTGGTACTTAAATGGCTTCATTGTGCCAAGAAATATATCCTTTGCATGATTAATTTTTAATAATTTTTCATTTATCAAGGCTTATGAACAATTTCCTAAACTTAAAAATGAATATATGTAATAAAAAGAAAATATTTCAAGATCTTTCTCTTATATATTCAAACAATTGTCAACAAATTTGTGACTTTATGTCCTGTGACTTTTTGTCCGTTTGTAATGTTATAAAGGGGCATAAAGGTTCTAGACACATGGGGTCTTTTGAAATGGCATCTAGGACCAATGACATTGACAAAGGTCATACGGTCAAAAGTCAAGATCATGCCCTAGATAGTAAACTTTGAATTTTTTATCCTTTTTTAAGGATTTCATGTATGTTTTAAAGCTTTTCAATTGTAAGGGTTTTATGGTCTTTTTTAAGCTTTGCAAAGCATGATTAGTCTGTATGAGTGTAAATTTTACAAAAGGAAAACTTTTTAATTGATCTGGAGATATAAGCTCTGACTTTCAAAGTTCTTGGATGTCAGAAACCAGTTCTTTGATAATAAATTTTCAAACTTTCATCAAGTTAGCATTTAATTTTTCTGAAAATCATTCAGGCTTATGACTTTGCAAATAAATGAAATAGTTTCGGGTAACTAAGATATATGTGCATGCTTATGTGAATATAGAGAAAACATGTAAATTTGGGTGTCGGTAAGGCATGGAGATTTAAAAATTTATAAATGCATTGCAAATATAGCAAAAAAATGTAATGCCCTGATACATATATGATCCTCACCTGCAGAACCCTGCGAAGGTCATTGAGAATTTAATGCAAATTTCAAGAGCTAATTGAATTCAATTAATTAGAGCCTTGTGGGCACCTTTCCTTTCTGTCAAAATCTCAAGATATAAAACTCGATTTTTTTGCCAGTTTGATTGGATTAAATAAAGAGAGACCCCCATTTTCACTTCTGATTGGTCCTTTAGGTTACAATTGAGCAATCATTTACAATGCATTTTTAATAGAGTACCTTGTCTGTTTGAATCGTATTAATAAAAAGAGTATATAAGTTGCATACAAACTAAAGCCAGATTCTCAAAGTAGACATAAAAAAAAAAAATCATTTCAAAGAAAAAAAAAACCACTGTAACAGCATGCTTACGAGGCGGAAATAACCTTAAATATTAGTTGTTATGGACGCTTTCAAAATCCACACTAAATGACACAGCAAAATTTTCATTCAGCCTATTCCAAAAAAAGAAAAAATTTCACAGAAAATTTCAAATGAATGATTCCAAATTATAACTACTTTTGCACATAAATAAATAGTTGATCTTTCATAAAATTAATAATTCAAAAGCATACCATCCAATCAGATGCCTCACAGATTTTTATTCTTACTACCAACTTTCAATGTTTCTAGTCTCCCTCAGACATTTTTTTTAGAGAAAAATTTATCTGACCCCAAATGCAAAGAATTACCTTTGAGGTTGAGCACCTCTGCTAGCTGAACCAGATGGTGATTCTGAGAGCAACTGATCGGCTTCTGAATATTCTTCTTTCTTTTGTTCTGGTGGTGGAGAACTTCTTCCAAAAATAAACATATACAAGAAGTTCCACAGGGTAATTAATGGAGATATTACCAATGAAATGATACCTCCTCCACCACTTGGATTAACAGTGTTTGCTTTTTTCTTTCCCTAGAAATGAAAGACATATGCCAATATTTATTTCCTATACTTTTTTCCAAAATTTACTGTCTCAGTATAAAAACTAGATATGGACAATGCCCCCCCTTTTCTGCTCTGCCATATGCATGAGTATTGTTCCACATATTTTAGATTTGACAAACAGTGATTGTTGGCATACAACTTGAAATTGTTACACTGTCTGTAAGACACAAATGATGCCCCTGCCTGACCAAAAAAATGACTAAGTCCAACTACCTGTCATTTTCAGAATATTTGAAAAAAAAATCAGAATCCTGTGGCCATGCACACCTCCATTATGTGTTTGAACATCCTACAAAATATTAAAGCTGTATCTCCAAAACTGTAGGAGGAGAAAGCTGGACAAACCATGATCTCTGTATGCAGCTAGTGCCAAAATAAAATGCTTCGCTGAATGCAGCCTGATACGACCACAGTGGTCGAACCCTGAACAGTTGGGGCAAATTTGGACACAATATTCAAGCTTGATACTATCTGAATTTGGATTGTGATCAAATTTTTGACATAATATAGGTTTCTGACACAAAATAAATATGGTCAAAGATCTTACAAATCTAATGCGCAATACTGTGCAATTGAAGATTTCTTCTTGAAACTTTTTAAAAATTTGAAATTTTGAAAATTTTGAAAAAAAAATATGAACCCTTTTAAAAAAAAATTGGAAACCCCCCCTTCCCCCCAAACTTTTTGAATCCCCCTTTTAGCATTAACCATCAAACTCTTAGCAGTCTTTCCTTTGTAGTATGGAACCTTGTAGTACAATTTTAGAGAGATCCATACACTTAATCACATGTTACTGTCTGGAAACTAGAAAAATGCTTTTTTTTAACCATAAAAGCCCATTTAAATACATCATAAAAGTATTAAAATAGAAAATGACATCATAGTCATGGCTAAAATTAAAAAAACCTTCATCAGCAACTTTTAATAGTAATATCTAGAAATAAAATTCCTTCATCAGCATTTAAAAGTAACTTCTAAAAATAAATTGACAGCTAGGACTTTGCAACCATAAAAACCCATTTAAATACATCATAAAAGTATTAAAATAGAAAATGACATCATAATCATGCCTAAAATTAAAACACTTTAATCAGCAACATTAAATAGTAATATCTAAAAATAAAATTCCTCCACATACATAATCATGGCTATAATTAAATTACCTTTATTAAACATTTTTAAAATAGTAACTTCTAGAAATAAATTGACAGCTCATCCCCTAAAGACTATACATTTTCTAAATAATTTATAAGCAGTGTAAGGGAGATAATTTGACAATATGTGTTTGAATTAACTCCCTTACACTGCTTTAAAATTATGTTTTGTACTTAAGTAATTGTCCATTAACCTGGAAACCCTTGTTTTTCCCCCTTTTTTGCCCCTAATTCCTAAACAGTTTGAGCCGTTACCCCCCAAAGCAAATTCTTACCATCCCTTTGTGATATGGTATCTTGTGGTATAATTTTAGAGAGATCAATACACCATTTCACAAGTTATTGTCTGGAAACTAGAAAAATGCTTATTTGGGCCCCATTTTGGCCCCTAATTCCTGAACTATAAGGACCATAACCACCAAAATCAATCCCAACCTTCTTTTTGTGGTCATAAACCTTATGGTAAAATTTCATAGAAATCCATACACTTAAACAAAAGTTATTGTCCGGAAACCAATGTGTCTTCGGACGACGACGTGATACCAATATACGACCCGAAATTTTTGGACTAAGTACAACTACCTGTCATTTTCAGAATATTTGAAAAAAATCAAAATCCTGTGGCCATGCACACCTTCATTATGTCTATGAACATCCTACAAAATATTAAAGTTGTACCTCCAAAACTGTAGGAGGAGATAGCCGGACAAACAATGTATCCTAATCCGGATGGATGGACGGGCGGACAGACGAACTAACGAACGAACGGACAGACTGAAAAACATAATGCCCCTCTTCTATCGTAGGTGGGGCATAAAAAACAGGTAGTCAGATTTTTTTTTCGATTTTCAGGGTAGATACATCTGGTCTTGCTGATCCTTTTTGCATTTTACACTTTTAATCTAGCTCCTATAGTTTTCACTACAACAGCCAATAACTGGTAAAAATTTGGGGGAACAAAAACATATTTCAGGAGCAATTTCTTCAAAAGAAGTACAAATGTAGTTAGATTTTCACCAATTTTCAGGGTGGATACATCTTGTCATGCTGATTATTTTTACAATTTGACCTGTTGAGCTAGCTCCTATAGTTCATGAAAAATGGCAAGGAATTGCCAAAAAAGTTAAAAAGGCAATAACTCCAAAATAGGTGGGCAAAAAATATTCATGGTAGATAGAACTTGTTGTTCTGAAAATTTTATTCTCAGTTTTTCTATACTTGCTAATGTTTTAGAAATATTAGAAAACTGTAGTTTGACCCTATGTTCTATTTTTAGACAAGGCAGCCATGTTGGTCAATCAACGTAGTTGACATCTTAAAGATGAAGCAGACAAACCTTGGTTTGGATCCATTGACCAGTTTAAAAGAAGAAAATATTGAAGTAAATATTACAGACAATTAATGGACCAAGGATGACAGACAAACAGAAGATGGACAGAAAGTAATTGCAAAAGCTCACATTGCCCTTTGGGCATGATGAACTGAAACTATATGCCAAAGAAAGAAAGACAGACATCAACACAACCAAAAGAAACGAGACATTATTTTGTTAATCATTTTTGTTTTTTACTGTTTCTCTCTAATTACTACAGCTCATGACAAATGAATATCAATAAGTCATCTGTTCTTTTGTATTTGAAAGTATGAACATTTCTTACATTGCTAAATGATGAAGGCAAATTGTACCACCAGGACAAATAATGAATTAAATTGAGAATGGAAAGTCCAGAATATAAAAAAGATTTCTAGCACATTTATGCTTCTGCCTCATACATCTTATATCTTATATCAAATATTAAATAAATTGTTGATATAAGAGATATGTCTTGCCTGTATGTTATATTGATAATAAAATACAAATATTGAAATAATTAGACCAATACCATGTTTAGACCTGTGTCCCTTCATGCAATTGATTGAGGTAACATGTACTGGAACATAACTGATCATTTCCTTTTATTAAAGCCAAGAAAACTTTGACGAAAATTTTCCTTGTTCATTCAATGAGTGTTGTACAGTTCCAAACTAAAGGCAAACAGGAAGTGGCTGCACCACCGAAGTAAAAATTGCTTACTCTCTACAAATGAACATTATCAAGCTGGATATCAAATGTTCAATCATTCCCTTTCATACAAGCCACGAAAACTTTGATGAAAGTTTTCTACTCAGGTCTTTCGGATGGACGGACATATGGATGGAAGGAGTGAAGCGGTTACTAGACCTGCTTTCACTGTTGGCAATGCAGATAATAAAAATAGCAATACTTTAACATGTCAATTATGCAAAATATTCAAAGTATGAATTAAGGTATTGGACCTATTTGGTAGAAATGAGGTATGCAAATGTTTATACAACTGCATACAAAATATCATTGACTTATCATAAGTGGTTAGTAACTGGTTACCCTCAAACTGACTAATCAAAAACTTTATGTGAACTATGCAAACATTTCAAAGTCAATATACCATGACTAAGGGAGGAGGGCTAAATAATCGCCATATGAATGAGATGTGTCAATGCTTATATAACTGCATACCAATATTATTGATTTACCATTAGTGGTTCCCCTTAAACTGACCAAATCACAAACTTTAACAAAATGTTGACACTGCCACTACCTGAAACAGCATACCTAAGTCTTGCTTTTTGACTCTGTCAAAGCGAGATAAAAATTTGCAAAAGTGATGATGCCTGATCCATGATAACATTATTTAATCAAATATCAATGGCAGAACATTTGAATAATTTAACAATATACAACAGTTCAAATTCACCATCTATGTATTATCCCTATGGTCGCATTGTTACCGGTAATGTAGACATCATTCAAGATCAAGGTTGAGAAATTTTCCAAAGGACCAAAAATATCATCCACTATCTATAATGAATTGGAAGGCTTTTGTAAATAACTTTGTCTCTATTCCAGATGAAGGACCTTTAGACAATAATTAAGTTTAATCTAATAACTTAAAAGATGAGGGAAATGCCTTCCCTGACTCACTGTGACACACAATGATATATAAATTAGTGTAATATGTAATAAAACATGTAAGGGGTTCCACAGAACCCTGTGTCTCACCTACGATTGCTGCTGTCAGTGTAAAAGTGTAATGTTGACTTGAAAAATGTGTCCATTCATCAGTAAAATACATAATAAAAAAAAAATATCAAACTTTTTCTTTAGATGCTATTTCTTGGTCTAGAAGATTAGCTTCTGTCCAAGTTTCATGACAATCCATGAAGGTTTACAAATTTATCATGTCAAAAAAATTAATCCTATACTGTCTGTAAATGTTAACTGTAAAAAACAAAGTCCATCTATCAGAAGAATACTGAAAATGAAAATATATTTTCAAAAGTTTGCTTCAGACATTATCTCTAAATCATAAAAAAGCTTCTGCCAAAGTTTTATAAAATTCTATGAAGGTTTGACAAAGTAATTGATGTGGAACAAACTTTAACCCTAGGCTGTATCTACTTGTGAAACGTGAAAAAAAAACTAAGTTTATTTATCAGTATAATACAGAAAAATGAAAATAAATATTTTCAAATTTTGCTCTGGATACTGTATTTTGGTCATGAACAAGCTTCTGTCCAAATTTCATCAGTACAATACGAAAAAATGAAAATAAATATTTTCAAAATTTTGGTCTGGATATTGTCTTTTAGTCAAAAAGAAGCTTCTGTCCAAACTTCATAAAATTCCATGAAGGTTTGACAAAGTTATTGATGTCTAAAAAAACTTTAACCACAGACTGAACCTAAATGTTGACGCCGCAAACAGAATCTAGGATCGCTATGTCTCGCTTTTAAGACATAAATGTCACAGGCTCAACAAAAATGCTCCACAGGGCGCAGCTTGATACGACCACAGAGGTCGTACCCTGAACAGTTGGGGCAAGTATAGACACAACATTCAAGTGTGACACAGCTCTGAATTTGGATTGTGATTAAATAGTTGACACAGAATTGGTTTCTGATACAGAATGAATGTTGTCTAAGAACTTAATTAAAATTTGAAACTGGACATTTACCTATAATGGTCCAATATCCAAATCTAAATACATGGTTAGATTCAGCATATCAAAGAACCCCAATAATTAAATTTTTGATGAAATCAAAGAAAAGTTTTATTTTAGACCCTTTGGACCAATTTGATAACGGGGCCCAAAATCCTACATCTAAATGCACGGTTAGATTCAACATATTAAAGAACCCCATGTATTCAATTTTTGTTGAAATCAATCAAAGTTTAATTTTGGACCCCAATTTTGACCAACTTGAAAACTGGGCCCAAAATCAAAAACCTAAATACATGTTTAGATTCAGCCTATCAAAGAATCCAAAGAATACAATGTTTGTTAGAATCAAACTAAGTTTAATTTTGAACCCTTTGGACCTTAATATGGACCAATTTGAAAACCAGGCCCAATATCAAATATCTAAATACAAGGTTAGATTAAGCATATCAAATAACCCCAATAATTCAATTTTTGATGAAATCAAACAGAGTTTGATTTTGGACCCTTTGGCCCTTAATGCAGACCAATTTAAAAATGGGGCTCTAAGTCTAAATACACAGTTTGCTTCAGCATATTAAAGAACCCAAACCAGGTTTTCTGTATTTTGAAGGACTAAAGATGAACTTAAGAGGGCAACTTGTACAAATGAAATTGATGTATTCTAATGTTTGGTGCTTTCAGGCTTGTTTGGCCTGCCATGTTCTGTAATAGAAAAACGAAGGATATGGGGCATCTGTGCCTATTTTCCAATCTATCAAGGACCATATGTCCTAAATAGTTGAAGTGAAAATATTCATTATCAAACTTGACCTCAACTTTTCCATATAAGTAACAACATATCAAAATTTGAAACTCATTGGTTGAACAGTTCATTGCATAGAAACCACATACAGTACCATTTTTCAATCTATCAAGGACCATTACTAATGAACAAAAAATATGAAAATCTTCTATATCAAAACTGACCTCCATTTTGTCATCAGTAACAATATATTGACATTTAAAAATTATTGGTTGTACAGTTCATAAGTTATTGCATTGAAACAATATTAAGTGACATTTTCCAACCTATTAAGGACCATAACTCATGAACACTAAAAGTGAAAATCTTCCAATAATAATGTAGACCTCCATTTTGTCATCAGTGACAACATATTAAAATTTGAAAAGCATTAGTTAAAGGGTTCATAAGTTATTGCACAGAAACTGTTGGCAGCCGCCTGCTCGCTGTTCTTCGCCATTTTAATAACCTTTCCTTTGGAAAACCTTTATAGAAATTAAATGATAAAATTATCAAAAATCTTTATCAAAGGGCAACAATTCATATAAAGAGTGTCTGATGATTTTGGTAAAAAAAATGAGAAAGTGGGTCTTTTTTACCTGACAGATTTTCAGTATCTATGCAGGTTTTTAAGATGTTGGATAATTACCTGCATTATACATGTACCCTTATGTCCTTTTTCTAGCCATATCAGCCCTGTTTGTTGATGTAGCAAAAAAAATCATAAACTTTTATCTAGATACCGTTAGGATCAATCATATAAATCTTTCTATTAATTGGTCTTGTAGTTTCCATGTTATTAAATGTGGCCTGTCCTAAGGAAGCTGGTCAATGGTAGTTATATCTTAATGTTTCTTCCCCATTAATGAATTTGATATTCATGGTAGTTTATTCACAACTATTCTAGACTTCTGACAATTAAGAGGTTGAAATATTGACATTTGTCTATTGTTGAAGACAGTATTTAAACCTATAGATGTTATTTGTTTATGACATTGGGTTTATGCCTCTTTACATCACATCCTCTTTAATTCACATCTGAGATTCAATAAATTGTTTGATTCAGATCATTAATAACATTGAGTGTAAATTAGGCTTTTACTTCTGCATGTATACATGTCGTCAGTTTTGCAGGTAAAGAAAATAAAGTACCTGATTAAACTACATTTTTATGGTTAAACAAGAACCATAAAATTTGTAATATTTGCTTATTATCTACATTTTGATTGTAACATTAGAACCATGCAGTTATTTGCTGGCATCAATCTATGATTTGATAATTGTGGAAATTGTTTACAGACCCCACACTATCAGTAAACACTTTTTCAACTGATACGAGCAAAAAAGTGAAACACAGTTGTCTTCTATATTTTTTACCAGCATGATTCCCAAGAAATCCAAAAGACTTACTGGTACGGCAATTAACACTGCTGAGGGAACCAGTTCTAGAATCAATAATGTCTGAGACATATCTTCTGCTGTGAAAGTTCGTCTTGGGAATGTTGTAGATAATGTTACACTCGTTCCTACCCTCTGCAAATAAAAAATAAGAAAATATTTTACATAATAAATGTCAATATCATGCTCTCTTTGACTGCAGCAAAGGGCCCGAGAACATAGTTATTTTGTATAACATTCCTTTTAGATAATAAATTCAATTAAAATAAACTGTTGACATAGAGATATGTCTCATCTGTTGGCAGAAAATTAAAATAAAAGACAATCTGATGGACAGCAACATTGCTACTGTAAATTCAGAAATTATTGTGAGGTTTTTATTAATGCAATTAATGCGACTGAATATGTAATTTCAACCGTTTGAAGGAACTGAATTAGATTGAAATTAATTTCTTCTAGTTGTCTGCCCATAGACCATTATTTGTATTCCCACGCTTCATGGGATATAACCATTCAGCACGACAGGGCCGACTCGATTAGACGTGTTTCCCAGTTAATACCAAACATGGATTCAGATACACCCTCTGAAGAAATATCTTTGCGTACAGTTTTAGATGCAGTTAATCGTCAAAAGCAGGATATTGAAGTTCTTGTGGACACCAAAATCAGAGAAAAGATTAATAGTTTGCGTGACGAAATCCATGGAACAAACCAATGTATGAAATCTCAAGTCAAGAAGTTGAAGTCGGACCCCCAGTATAAATGGCGTTCTGAAGGTAATAAAATTCAGTTCAATGGTAATACCGAAAATTTAGAAGATTTAACCCAGGCTCTTTGGGCTATTGACAATGGCAAAGTTGACTATTGCAGAGACATTATTGCATCATGTACCGATAGGCTTAAACAAAGAAATAAGTTAATAAAGATCGCGGACACTTCTGATGGGGGATGGGACACCGCTCGCCAGTACGAGGCAAACCCAATTGCTAGCGATTCAGAAGATCAGTCCAAGATAATCAGAGCTGAAAACAGGGCCATTAGGAAGAAAAAGGCAAAGAGCAAACCAGCACTTAAACAACAGCAGGTTCCTTCCACCGCCAACCCTAGCTTCAATCCTCAACAGCCCTTTCAAGGCCAGCCGTCTTGGTATGGAGGTTTCCCGTATGCCCAAGACCAGTATGCTGGAAAATCTCAACGGGGACCATGCTTCAACTGTGGGTCGTACAAGCACTGGAGAGTTAACTGCTCCTTCCAAAACAACAAGACAGCAGCATCACACAAAAGAAACTAGTTTTGTAAAAGATGAGTATAATTTTGACACAATTTCTTTAGAAAATTTGTCTGAACCAACTTTTACACATGATTATTTCGAATATGAGCAAGATGGTACTGATATTATTGTTAGGGGTAGGCTGAAGGAAAATATCCAATTTTGGATAAATATTGGTGCTTATGATTATATTATTGACACTATAAGAGATGGTTATAAGATACCATTTTATTCTATTCCTCCGTCTACGTATTTATATAACAATGTATCAGCTTTAAAAAATACCGATTTTGTGCATACAGCTATATATTCAGGATTTATTACATAGAGGTTTGATAGTTCAGTGTGATAAGCGACCTTTTGTTGTTAATCCTCTTACTGTATCAGTTCAATCTAATTCAAAGAAAAGATTGATACTTGATTTGAGAGCGGTTAATAAACATTTATGGAAACAGCGTTAAATTTGAGGATATGAGAACTGCTCAACAGCATATTAAATTGAACTGTTCTATGTTTAAGTTTGATGTTCACTCAGCTTATCACCATGTTGATATTTTTGAACCACACACAGAGTATTGAGGTTTTTCATGGATCATTAACGGATGTCCTACATTTTTCAAATTTCTTGTTTTACCATTTGGATTAAGTACAGCTTGCTTTCTTTTTACTAAACTAACTAGGCCGCTTGTAAAGAAATGGTGATCTGAAGGTAAACAAGTCATTATGTATCTTGATGATGGGTTAGGTATTGAACAAGATCAAGAAATGTGTAAGATTGTGTCAGAACAATTTAAGCTAGATTTAGTTAAAAGTGGCTTTTTTTTTTTGTACCTAAGGCCGAAAAATTATTGTGGGAACCTACTAAACGTCTGGTTTGGTTAGGAACATTTATTGATACAGAGTATGGCTTTTATAAAATACCAGATAATAGAATAGATAAGATGATACATTCTATTGATGACATTATATCTTGTTTAACTGGGCGTAAAAGCGTGTACGTGAAAAAAGTTGCATCTGTTAATTACGTTGTAGGTCAGATAATATCTACATACTATTGGAAATTTAGTTTATTTAATGACTAAACATTTAACTATAGACGTGAACACATCTGCGTCTTAATATTCTTATATTAAACTTTCTGAATCTAGCATTGAACAGTTACAATTCTGGAAACTGTATATTAGTGAAGTTAATGTAAAACATTTTAGTGTTGATGAATCATGTCATAGTATTATCTTTAGTGACGCTAGTGATACAGGCTTTGGAGGTTATATTGTAGACACACCACAAAACATTGCACATGGAATGTGGGTTGAATCAGAACGTAGTAATAGTTGAACTTGGAAGGAACTTTCAGCGGTTAAGAAAGTTTTGCTGTCATTAATTAATTTTATATCTGGAAAAAAGGTCGAATGGTTTACAGATAACCAGAATGTTGTGAGCATTGTTAGCAAGGGCAGTACAAAAACTATTTTACAAAATTTAGCGTTGGACATATTTAGCGCATATTTGAAGTACAATGTCAATATTGATATAGTTTGGATACCTAGGACACTAAACGAAAAAGCTGAATTTTTGAGTCGCATCGTTGATCATGATGATTGGGGAATATCATATTATTTATTTCAATTGATAGAACCTTTATGGGGACCTCATGAAGTAGATTGGTTTGCTTCTGACCACAATTTCAAGTTACTGGTATTTTATTCAAGATTTTGGAATGAAAATTCTTCTGGTATTGATGCTTTCACAGTTAATTGGTTTGGGGTTAATGGTCTTTTTGTACTGCCTGTATTTCTTATACCACGTGTTATTAATTACATGAGACAATGCAACGCTGTAGGTACATTGATTGTTCCTTGTTGGCCATCCGCAAGTTATTGGCCTATGCTATGCCCAAATGGGGGCGATTTTACAGATCAAGTTATTGCACATGTAGAATCACCAAGCGGTAAGGAGTTTTATACTCCTGGTAAAAGCAAGAAGGCCATTTTTGGTAATAATGATCTTACATTAAGATGTTAGCTTTGAGGCTAGATTTCAGAAAATTATACTGATATGTATGAAGGTTGTAAACCTATTTTGTTTATGAAGCTGTTTATGCTTATCTGAATCTTACAGATGATATTTTAAAGGCTGTATTAGTACCTTGTTTGTGTACTAACGTTACAATGCATATCTGAATTGGTTTCAGATTTTGGCATTAAGGCTATAATTGGCCTTGTTGAGAACTAATATACTAACAAATACAAATGCTTATGTTAAGCATTATAGTCCTGTGAGATGTACTAACAAGTATTTTTCTGTTGGTAGTTTCTATCTTTTAAGATGCTATTATTGTTTAATTACTGTTTATACATGTGTTTTTGCAGGCTTATGAATCTGAGATAAATTTTTTGCCACCAACTCTGCATACCAATGTTGATGTTCTTATGGATTTACTTTGCGAATCTAAAGCTGACAGTACCGTTAAAACTTATCATGCAGGATTTATCCAATGGAAAAAGTGGGCCGTTCATAAAGGTATCAATGGTTGTGATATTTTACCGCCAAAACCTTTGCACGTTGCACTATATTTATCTTCATTAGTTCATAACAGTCACACTGCTAGTCCGATTATTTCAGCCTTTTATAGTAAACAATGGGCACATCATATGATTGGTCAAACGTCTCCTACCGAAAATTTAGTTGTGAAAAAATGTTTTAGAAGGTGCAAAACAGTGCTTAGCTACACGAACTGAGAAAAAGGAACCAGTTACTCCTGAGCTTCTATCTAAAATGTATAGTTCATCATTTAAGGAATACAATGTTATGTCACAGCGTATTATTTGCGCGTGTTTAGTTGTTTATTCAGGATTTTTGAGAGAGTCCGAGCTATTAAATATACGGATATGTGATATCAAGTTTGAATTAGGTTATATATCTATATTTATTCGGAAAAGTAAAACTGATATCTATCGTGTTGGCAATTCTGTAGTAATAGCCTGTATGGATTCCAATATTTGTCCAGTAAAGAATTCAAAGTTATATTTGTTGTGGGCTGATATTTCGCCGGATTCAGAAGAATTTATTGTTAGAAAATTCAAGGATCGATATTTACTTCTGAAGGATAACAAACCACTGTCTTGCACATGTATGAGAGAACTTATTGGAGCTTTTCAACCATTTGTGTCAAATATTAAAAATTATGGATTGCAGAGTTTACGTTCTGGTGGAGCTACAACTTGTGCTAATTTAGGCATTTCTGATAGATTGTTCAAAAGACATGGTAAATGGCGTTCAGAGACCGCCAAGGATGGTTATATTAAAGACTCTTAAAAAGACAGATTAATTGTTTTTGAAAATTTAGGTTTATAGCCTGATAATGACTTTTTATTTTAAAAGTGAATTAAGTTCTATAAGCAAGATAAAAATTTTATTGCCCGTTCTTTGTAGTTCAGCACATGGCACTGTCGTGTGGGTATTCAATTTGAACTTTAGTTTGGTTTTTATTAGTGTTATGTGTATAGAGTTGGGTAGTCTATGGGCGTTAGTAATTGTAGAAGAAATGTAATTTCAACCGTTTGAAGGAACTGAATTTGATTGAAATTAATTTCTTCTAATTGTCTGCCCATAGACCGTTATTTGTATTCCCGCGCTTCATGGGATATAACCATTCAGCACTACAGGGCCAACTCGATTAGACGTGTTTCCCAGTTAAATTTTTATCTTGCTTATGTGAATTTATTTGATGTTATATCTACTGTTTTGATTTCAGTAGTATTTATTAATTACTGACTATATTTTGTCGACATGATATTATGTATCATAATGTGCAATTAAAATCAGCACATGGCACTGTCGTGTGGGTATTCAATTTGAACTTTAGTTTGGTTTTTATTAGTGTTATGTGTATAGAGTTGGGTAGTCTATGGGCATTAGTAATTGTAGAAGAAGCTTATCGCAATAATAAGAACTAGTATTCTTATATCTGATACATATAATTGTATGCTGATTTTCCTGAAATCGCAATAATTAATATTGCATTTTAGTTCATTCTACAAAATTCGCAATAATAAATGCAGGCATTAATTTCTGAATTTACAGTAATTAATTCAATGTCGCTGGACCATGACCTAGAGGGCAAGAACTCAAAATAGTCATCAAACTGATATGAACTGATTGTAATGCAACTTTCTACAAAATATCATTGATCTTCCACAAGTAGTTCCAATCAAACTGACTTAAGCAGAAAACTTAACATTGAAAATTTCTTTTAATTCAAAGTCACTGGATCACATGTAATTTCTATCAAACTGACTTAAGCAGAAAACTTAACATTGAAAGTTGTTAATTTATTCAGTCACTGGACCCTTACCTAGGGGGCAGGGCATCAAATTAGTAATCAAACTGATATGTACTGATAGTAATGAAACTTTCTACAAAATATCATTGTTCTATCACAAGTATTTCCTATCAAACTGACTTAGATAAGAAGTAAGCAATATCCTTTAACTTTACTTTTCGCTATATAGATGATGTTCTCTCACTGAATAATTCAAAATTTGGTGACTATGTTGAATGCATCTATCCCATCGAACTAGAGATAAAGGATAGTACAGGTACAGTTAAGTCTGCCTCATATCTTGACTTACATCTAGAAATTGACAATGAGGGTCGGTTGAAAACAAAACTTTACGACAAAAGAGATGATTTCATCTTCCCAATTGTGAACTTTCCATTTTTATGTAGCAACATTCCAGCAGCGCCTGCATACGGAGTATTTATCTCCCAGTTGATACGATTTTCCCTGGCTTGTGTTTCCTATCATGATTTCCTTGATAGAGGGTTGCTGCTCACAAGGAAGCTATTAAACCAAGAGTTCCAAATGGATAAGTTGAAATCATCCCTTCATAAATTTTACGGACGCCATCACGAGTTGGTTGACCGTTATGGAATAACTGTTTCACAGATGATATTGTATATGTTCCTTATGTCGTAATTACAATCCACTTCCTTTTTCACCAAGAATGTGACCTACAGAATTAGACAATTTACCGGATTTGTAATAACATGAGCAACACGACAGGTGCCACATGTGGAGCAGGATCTGCTTACCCTTTCGGAGCACCTGAGATCGTCACCAGTTTTTGGTGGGGTTCGTGTTGCTTAGTCTTAAGTTTTCTATGTTGTGTCTTGTGTCTTGTGTACTATTATTTGTTTGTTTGTCTTTTTATTTTTTAGCCAATGCGTTGTCAGTTTTTTTTCAATTAAGTCCATAAAATTTACGAAGGGATGATTTCAACTTCACCATTTGGAACTCTTGGTTTAATAGCTTCCTTGTGAGCAGCAACCCTCTTTTAAGGAATCAAGATAGGAAATACAAGCCCGGGAATATCGTATCAATTGGGAGATATATACTCCATATGCAGGCGCTGCTGGAATGTTGCTACATAGAAAGCTATAATTTTATTAATAAACTGTTATCACAGAGATATGTCTCGCCTTTTTGTAATTTTGATAATGCAAATGTTGAAATTAAAATAGCAATACTTTAAGATGTAAGTTATGCAAATATTCAAAGTCAATGAACCATGACTGAAGGTAAATGGCTGAACAATCTCCATGGAAATGAGAATACAACTGCATACCAAATACCATTGACTTATCATAAGTCGTTCCCTTTAAACAAACCTAAACACAAACATTAACTTGTAAACTATGTAAAAGTATCAAAGTAAATGAACCATGATGACGGGGTGGGGCTTTATAATCTCCATGGAAATAAGACTTGCAAATGCCAATAAATTTGCATACCAAATATCAATGACTTAACATTAGCAGTTCATCTTAAACTGATCTAATCACAAACTAATACATATAAACTAAGCAAACATTTCAAAGTCAATAGACCATGACTGAGGGGGCGGGGCCAAATATTCTCCATGGAAATGAGATGTGCTAATGCTTATACAACTGAATACCAATTAACATTGGCCTACCACTAATGGTTCCCCTTGAACTGACCTAATCACAAACTAATACATGTAAACTAAGCAAAATTTTTAAGGTCAATAGACCATGACTAAGAGGGCGGAGCCAAATAATCTCCATGGAAATGAGATATGCCAATGCTTATTCAACTGCATACAAAATATCATTGACCTACCACGTGTGGTTCACCATAAACTAGACCTAATCACAAACTAATACATTGTTGATGCCACCAACACCGTCGCCAGAAACAGCATACCTATGTCTCGCTTTTTGACTCCGTCAAGGCGAGACAAAAATCTAATGAATGTTGTCAGAAATGAAAGACGAACATGAAAGTGACAATGAACACCATATGATTATTTTCTAGAATCTTCGTTTTTGATGGGTTCAAATTCTTCACCCAAATTTTTTTTTCAGAAAACTAAAATCCACGAATTTAAAAACCCACTAACATGCAACTTTTGCACAATCCACGAAAATTGATACCCACGAATAAAAGTAATTTCACAGTGTTATATATAAAATATAACAGTAAATTTAATCGCAAATTGTACTCTAAAATATAATTGCATATGAGTTCGAAAAGAGTCATCATATCTAAGGTAACAATATTAACAACCCTCCCCTAACCTGGGATAGTGGTGTAACAGCACAACATAAGAACCTATTTGTTAATCATACTTTTTCATAACAGTTCTTAAATGATTTGGTGTATTAATTTTTTTTATTATTTCAGAAATGGTTAATACTATCTTCTTTCCATGTTTGTTTACCAGAGACTTATACATCATTTTGACACTGAATAAAACTCTGGTATGCCACACTTGTTGGGACTTTGTTGTATTTAGATATTACATGTTTATTTGTTTGGAGATGCTGTCTAGATGGCAACATGTCAAAAATTGAGTCAGAATTGAAATCCATTTTGATCACTTATCCAGGAGAAGTTTCCATTTAAGACAGCAAAGTGATGGCAAGAGATAACATAGTTTTTGGCCAGGTGATCTAAAACCTATTCCACAAACACTGCTAACAAAATAAACAGCCATAACTCAGATGAAATACACTCAAAATAGTAGAATAGTGATTAACTTTATCAAGGGTCCTTAATTTAAACACCCATCCTAAAAGGTTCTTTAGTGACATGAAAGTTTTGATAACCACTGTGTGTTCTTATTAAAAGTTAATACCAATTTTCATAGATTGAGGGAAAGTTATATTTTTGTGGATGTCTTCATATAAGCCTATAGTAAATGTGTTCTTCTTTGAACATGTATTTTCTTAGTTTACCTTTACCAACGAAATCCATGAAAAAAAATCGTATCCTACATATAATAATGAATCCACTTTATCTCACCTGTGATACAAAGTCGTTCACTATTTGTAATCTGTCCCCTGATGGAAACACATTAGTTAATGAAGAACCATCTGGTAGTCGTATCTGAAGACGAGCTTGTTCTCTGTAATAATAATCTTCATTATAAACATTTTTTAATAGTAAGAGTAAATTACTGCCTGAAAATTGAAAATTTTTAACTTGTAAATAAAATTGACAAAACAGTATAACAAAAATACAAAAACACCAAGGCAAGTTCAAAAAGGGGAAGTCAATAAAAACTGACAAAATCAAACGTTTCTACTTTACAAACCTACAATGGAAAACTGTCATTAAAGACATCCTATCGAAGCAAATTTTTTTTCTTATTTCTTCCAACTGATTTTCTTCATGGCTATTCCAGTAAAAATGAAAAGGAGGGTTAGACACCACATGATATTTTTTCTGTGGATTTTAGGGGTGGAAGCAAATACAACTATGTTTATACAAATAAAATAAAAATTATGGGTTTTGGGGTATAAAACTAGAGGCTCTAAAGAGACTGTGTCACTCCACTAAGTCTATGTGCATTTTCAATAAAAGACACTCTCCAACATTGTCAACTACAATAGAATTCATTAAAAAAATCTGTTTTCTTGATCTTGTATTACTGATATTTTTTGTGTGCGTACAGTTTCTCTATATCTTCTTCAATAATTGCAAAATCTAAAATAAAGAAAAATCATTAATCAAGGGCAATCACTCCTATAAAGAGTCTACTAACGATTTTGGCAAAATTTGACCTACTATTCAATCTTGTCTGCTGATCATTTTTGGTATTGAAAGTGTCTATCTTTTATTATTCATAATATAATAATCAAAAATGCAAAAAAAAGGTAACAATTGTCATTAAAGAACAAGAACTCCCATAAGGAGTCAACTGACAATTTCGGCCATGTTGACTCATTTGTAGATCTTGTCTTGTTGATCATTTTGCTGTTTTAAAGTGTCTATCTTAGTATCTATCTATTATAGTTTTCAAGACAATAGACAAACTTGACCTTAAAATTCATTATCAGCTATAAAAGGCAACAACATGAAAAATGTGAAACAATTCAAAAGAGAAAGGCAAAGACCTAATTTATAACAATACAATTTACAATAAAATGCTTCGCTGGGTGCAGCTTGATACGACCGCAGAGGTCGAACCCTGAACAGTTGGGGCAAGTATGGACACAACATTCAAGCTTGATACAGCTCTGAATTTGGATTGTGATTAAATATTTGACACAGCATAGGTTTCTGACACAGAAAGAATGTGGTCTAAGAACTTGAATTTTTTTAATTTACCCATTATGGTCCAATGTCCAAAATCAAAATACATGGTTAGATTCAGCATATCAAAGAACCCCATATATTCAATTTTTGTTGAAATCAAACATAATTTAATTTTGGACCCTAACTTGGACAAACTTGAAAACTGGGCCCATAATCAAAAATCTAAACACGTGTTTAGATTCAGCATATCAAAGAACCCCAAGAATTCAATTTTTGTTAATATCAAACTAAGTTTAATTTTGGACCCTTTGGACCTTAATGTAGACCAATTTAAAAAACGGGACCCAAAATTAAAAATCTAAATACACGGTTAGATTTGGAATATCCAAGAACCCCAATAATTCAATTTTTGATGAAATCAAACAAAGTTAAATTTTGGACCCTTTTGACCTCAATATGAACCAATTTGATAGCGGGGCCCACAAATAAAAAATCTAAATACATGGTTAGATTCAGCATATCAAAGAACCCCATATATTCAATTTTTGTTGAAATCAAAAAAAGTTTAATTTTGGACCCCAACTTGGACAAACTTGAAAACTGGGCCCATAATAAAAAATCTAAACACATGTTTAGATTCAGCATATCAAAGAACCCCAAGAATTCAATTTTTGTTAAAATCAAACAAAGTTTAATTTTGGACCCTTTGGACCTTAATGTAGACCAATTTAAAAAATGGGACCCAAAATTAAAAATCTAAAAACACGGTTAGATTTGGCATATCAAAGAACCCAAATAATTCAATTTTTGATGAAATCAAACAAAGTTTAATTTTGGACCCTTTTGACCTCAGTATGAACCAATTTGATAGCGGGGCCCACAAATAAAAATCTAAATACATGGTTAGATTCAGCATATCAAAGAACCCCATATATTCAATTTTTGTTGAAATCAGTCAAAGTTTAATTTTGGACCCCAATTTGGACCAACTTGAAAACTGGGCCAAAAATCTTAAATCTAAATACATGTCTAGATTCAGCATATCAAAGAACCCCATATATTTAATTTTTGTTGAAATCAAACAAAGTTTAATTTTGGACCCCAACTTGGACAAACTTGAAAACTGGGCCCATAATCAAAAATCTAAACACATGTTTAGATTCAGCATATCAAAGAACCCCAAGAATTCAATTTTTGTTCAAATCAAACTAAGTTTAATTTTGGACCCTTTGGACCTTAATGTAGACCAATTTAAAAAAACAGGACCAAAAATTAAAAATCTAAAAACACGGTTGGATTTGGCATATCAAAGAACCCCAATAATTCAATTTTTGATGAAATCAAACGAAGTTTAATTTTGAACCCCAACTTGGACCAACTTGAAAACTGGTCCCATAATCAAAAACCTAAACACATGTTTAGATTCAGCATATCAAAGAACCCCAAATATTCAATTTTTGTTAAAATCAAACTAAGTTTAATTTTGGACCCTTTGGACCTTAATGTAGACCAATTTAAAAAACGGGACCCAAAATTAAAAATCTAAATACACGGTTAGATTTGGAATATCAAAGAAGCCCAATAATTCAATTTTTGATGAAATCAAACAAAGTTTAATTTTGGACCTTTTTGACCTCAATATGAACCAATTTGATAGCGGAGCCCACAAATAAAAATCTAAATACATGGTTAGATTCAGCATATCAAAGAACCCCATATATTCAATTTTTGTTGAAATCAAAAAAAGTTTAATTTTGGACCCCAACTTGGACAAACTTGAAAACTGGGCCCATAATAAAAAATCTAAACACATGTTTAAATTCAGCATATCAAGGAACCCCAAGAATTCAATTTTTGATAAAAATCAAACTAAGTTTAATTTTGGACCCTTTGGACCTTAATGTAGACCAATTTGAAAACTGGACCCAAAATTAAAAATCTAAATACACGTTTAGATTCGGCATAACAAATAAATAAATGTGGTCAAAGATTTTACAAATCTAATACGCCATACTGTGCAATTAAAGATTACTTCTTGAAATTTTTCAATATTTGAAATTTGAAAAAAAAAAAAATATTTGAAGAATAATTCTTTTTAATTTGTGAAATCTGAAATGAGAAAAAATTGACCCCCCACAATTTCTTTTTACCCCCTCCCCTTTTTTTGCCCAAAAAATTCTTTCCCTCAAGATATGGTCATAATCTCAATTCAAATTTCCAATGGAGTTTGCAACCATAATAACCCATTTAAATTTACCATAGTGCTAACTTAATCTATTTTATAATAGAATTTAAAATATAGTGTCAAATCTTTCATATGGATTTTTTTGTAAAAAAAAAAGAATCAACATTTGCAGATATTTTTACTGGTCTTCCTTTATAAATATGCATTTCTTTAAACATAATCAAAAAGCAGTGTAAGGGAAGTAACCAAAACGTTGTCTTTGGATTACCTCCCTTTCACTGTTTTAAATTATCTTAATTGTTCATTAACCATTACTATATACATAATTTAAAAGCAGTGTAAGGGAGGTAATTTCAATGATGTATTTGATTTATCTCCCTTACACTGCTTTAAATTATGTTTTGTACTAAAGTATTTGTCCATTAACCAGGACAACCTTGTTTTTCCCCCTTTTTTGCCCCTAATTCCAAAACGGTTTGAGCCATAACCCCCCAAAGCAAATCCTAACCATCCCTTTGTGGTATGGAAACTTGTAGTATAATTTCAGAGAGATCCATACACCGTTCCACAGTTATTGTCTGGAAACTAGAAAATGCTTATTTTTGGCCCCTAATTCCTTAACTGTTGGTACCATAACCCCCAAAATCAATCCCAACCTTCCTTTTGTGGTATTTAACCTTATGGTAAAACAAATAAGACAGATATAAACCAACAACAACCACTGAACTATAGGCTCCTGACTTAGGACAGGCACATAACAATTGTGGCATGGTTAAACATGCTTTTAACTCAATAGATTGGTAAGAAGCACAAAAAAAAAATAACATGAAAACAATAACACAAAGCCTTGAAATAAGAGTACTCACAGTTTAAAGACTTTTGATTGATTGATTTCTTGGTGTTTAACATCACTTTCAGCACTATTGTACTATTTCGTGACTGTCAGTTTTTTTTTGTGGAGGAAGCCCGGCCTGAAGAGAACCATCGACCTTCAGTAGGAACACTGACAATCCTAGTCAATTAAGATTGGAGTCAAGAGCACCTGTCACAACATCAGTATTGACAGGCTATTGATACAGTAGTTTGACTACCTAGACCACTCAGCCATCGAGACCCCCTTTTAAAGATTTAATTACAGTGTTAAATTTATAACCTTTAACAAGCATTCTGAGAGTATTGCATGGCAATACATAGTCCCCTACCAGGCAAAAATTCATTATACTGGAACAAAATGCTAACTTGTTATATAACTTGCCATGGTGTAAACAAAAATTAAATATCATGTCAATATCTTCAAGCATGACTAAAAACAGTGTGGAAAACTGATTATATGAATGAATTTTTCAAGTCCGAGGACCATAACTCTGCACAAAATTATTAGACCGAAACAAAAATTTGAACTTGATCTGTAACTTGTCATGATAAAACTATATACCAATTATCAATCAATATCGTATAAGCATGATGAAAAAACATTACCTGGTAGATATGATTAATAGTTCTCTAAAATAAGATATGATGTAATACAGTGTATATCTATTTTTAAATTATAATCAAATATAATTAATAGTTCCAAATATTTTTTCTTTCATTTGTCACAAACTAATAAAGATTTGTAACTTATCTATAAAATGTCAACAACTTTTATCTACACAATGTAATGTATTGAAATATATACATAATAAAAATAGATTATTATCTAATTAAAGGATTTCTCTTCATAATTTTTTTTCATATATATATAGCATTCAGAAAATTAGTTTATACTAAATAACTAACAAACCTGCCATAAAATTCTTCAAATAATTGAACAAAAAATGTCTTTTAAAAAATTAGTTATCTCCCTTTGTACAGAAATATGGTTTAACATAGTACTCTAACATTAGATATGGTCCAGAGTTATGGTCCATAACTCTAGATTAAATCGTCAGACCGGAACAAAATTTGAACTTGATCTATAACTTGTCATGGTAAAACTATATACCAAATATCAAATCAATATCTTCAAGAATGAAGAAAAAAAGTGTGGAAAGCTGATTTGCCGGACTGACAGAAGGACAGACAGACAGACGGACAGACAGACAGACAGATGGACGGAGTGCAAACCTAAAGTCCCCTTCGACTTCGTCGGTAGGGGACTAAAAAGAAGTTTACTCAAAGGATTAATGAAATTTTATGTATTTTACCTAGATCTATGGGCTCTATAAACAACATCACTGAATTACAGGATTTTAGGTCAATATAAACAATGTGATGGAGGATTTCTGTTTTTACAACACAAAGTTTTTAGTAAAAAAAACTAAATTGAGTAGATATAAAAAAGTGGGTAATTTTTTTTACCTGTTCACACCTGGTTCATTCAGCAGGGAAGCAATGCAGGGCATAATGATGGTCTGGAAGGGGGTTTACAGAATAGAGAATAATGGGCGAAAAATATAAAAAGAATTGAGAAAACGGACCAAAAAATAAAGAATAGAGAAAAATGGGGTGCTTATATGTAAAAAAGGAGAATAATTACCAAAGAATATAAAGAATAGAGATAAATTGCCTAAACAATTAAAGAATACAGAAATGAAGACACACCCCTCCCATCCAGACCCTCCATAATGTTATGAGTTTGTAAGGTCGCCAGGAAGTTGTTAGAATACCAAAATGTGAAATTTTCAGACGACCTCATGCAATAATTTATGAAGCCATGCTGATTTTCCAACTAGGTCAGAACCCATTATGAATAAAAGAAATATATATACATACTGTGATACCAGAGACAAATATACATCATTTTGATACTGAAAGAAACTTTGGTATGCCATGCTTGTTTTGGGACTTTGTAGTATTTAGATATCACATGATAATATGTATCGAGATGCTGTCAAGATAGCGACATGTTAAAAATTGATAGTCTGATTTAAAAATCTATTTTGATCACTTATCCAGGAGAAGAAAACATTTATATTAATGAATGTATGCATATTTCTATGGATAAACATGGAATAAACATAATATCAATATTTAATTTTTTCGCAAAGTTTCCCTTTAATACTGACATCTTCTAGTAATATTTAACAAAAGATTCCATACTCAGTGGGTATAATTAAATTCAAAAGTATTGTTAAACAGGAAGTGATTTGATGCCTGATAGATATTAATATTGATTACAGGGTACTATTATTCCATAATACAGAAGCTGAGTTATTTTTAAGGAAAGTTAGGGACAGACAGACAGATGAAAAGACATATGGATCTATAGGAAATACAGTATACCATCCACTTCAAAATTCATGAGCGGGGTATACTTATCTTATTTGATACCTTTTCTTTGCTTCAGCTTCACTGTTAATTTTATTCTGTGCCAATTCTTTGGCTTGTTTCATTTCTTCCTTCTGTTTTTCTTGTGTTTCTCTTTCTTTTCTGTATTTAGCTGCTCTTTCTACCCTAAGAGTAAAAATCAAAGAGGTAGAAATCACTGGTTGAAAAATTGGAAGTGGTCTGTTCAGAATTTCAATGCATATTTTAGTTTTCCATTGAGACATGGATGGTGGTGAACAAAAAATAAACCCATCAGGATATAACACTATTGCATATTTGTCGAATTGCTTCCATTCTTGAGAGTCTGACTCAGTATATGAAATGAGATAAACTATAAGTACTGCAACTGAACTTGAAAAAGACTCTTAGTTTACGAGATTAATGTACTGATATAACATACACAACTGGAATTTTTTTTAAACGATAGAATAATATCTATATTTTAGTTTTCGTCTGGTCGTGAAAAGTTTCTTTGGTCACATTTTTATAATTCAGCCTGATTACAGGGTACCCTACCATTCATGATTTTCTGCAGTCTTTTTAAAATTAAAATAAATATATGTTTTGTTCAATTTCAGGCTCTCTTCGTAAATAATTTTGATACACTTTTTATCAAGGGTACTCGTAATACTGAATACATATATAAAATTCCACTATGAACACACTTATTAAACTTATAGTCGGCAGTATTTTAATGAGGAATTTAGCGCATTTTTCTATGAAAACAAGAAAAAGATATAATAATAATAATAAGAGTTTATAAAAGGTTACACAGTTAGCTATTAAACTAATCTTCCCTGAGGCCATGATGAAATACAGTAATTGAAACATAACAAACAAAGAATTACAAAATAAACAAACAGACACACACATAAGAAAAATCAAATGAGCTATCGTTATGAATTTTTTTTTGAAATATTTGAAACAATTTTCAAAACAGGTAAAAATGATGAATTCATTTACTGTAAATTCAGAAATTATTGCGGGCATTTATTATTGCGATTTTTGATAAATGAACAAAATGCAAGATTAATTATTGGGATTTCTGGAAAAGCAGCATACAGATATATGTATCAGATATCGGAATACGGGTTCTTATTATTGCAATAATCACCCAGTCGCATTATTCGCATTAATAAAAACCTCCCAATAATTTCTGAATTTACAGTAGTATTGACATCATTCAAATTACCTCAACAATATTTAAAGTTTAAGTAAGTGTGTGAAAAATTAGCAATCATATAAAATTACACAGCTTCTTAATGTTCCAACAATTAATTTTTTAAATCTTTTTTGAATGATCTTGTACTTGAGGTTGATTATTTCAGGGATATTGGTAAGCTATACCATAAAATAGATCCTAAAACATTTGTAATAAACTGCTTCGCCAAGCGCAGCTGGATAAGACTGCAGAGGTCCAACCCTGAACAGTTGGGGCAAAAATGGACACAATATTCAAGCTTGATACAGGTCTGAATTTGGATTGTAATTACGGTAAATAAAAGACACATTATATGTTTCTGACACAGAATAAATGTAGTCAAAGAACTTGAAATTGGTTGTATGATTTGAATTTATATTCAATTGAAGATTTCTTGCTTTTGTGCAATACACTGTGCTGTTGCGCAATACTTAGTAAATCTGTTTTCAGACTATATACAAAGAATTAACAAAATAAATTGTGACCCTAAATTTTTCTTTGGAAAATTGACAATTTCTTAAATCTTGAGGAAAAAAAATTGCCTCCCCCCAAATTTCTACTTGTGGTATTGAACCTTGTGGTACAATTTCAGAGCAATCAAAATACTTTAATAATACACAAGTTATTGATTTGATTGATTGATTTTTGGTGTTTTAACGCCACTTTTAAGCACCGCTTTTGGGCTATTTCGTGGCGGCCAGTTTTTATTGGTGGAGGAAGCCGGAGCGCCTGGAGAAAACCAATGACCTTCGATAGGAAAACTGACAATCCTAGTCAATTAAGATTGGAGTCGAGTGCACCCGCACGAGCGGGGTTCGAACTCACAACCTCAGTGTTGACTGACAGTGATTAAAGTAGTAACTACTTAGACCACTCGGCCACCGAGGCCCCCGCAAGTTATTGTCCTGAAACTAGAAAAATTCTTGTTTTGGGCCCTTTTTGGCCCCTAATTCCTAAACGGTTGGGACCATCACCCCCAAAAACAATCCCAACTTTCCTTTTGTGGTATTGAACCTTTTGGTTAAATTTCATAGAGATCCACACACTTTAACTAAAGTTATTGTCGAAAAACCAAATGTCTTCGGACGAGGACGACGCTGACAACGGCAACGCTGACGTGATAGCAATATACGACCCCAAAATTTTTTTGTGGTCGTATAAAAATATAAAAGATTTCTTATACAGCTCTGTTTTGTCTTTTGGAACTTCAAATTTTTTGTAAAACATATTCCTTTATTTCTGGCATTTCTTTAAATTTTCAGTTGAATATACAGGGGCTTCATATTAAGGCGTGTATGCATCAAAACAGACTTATGGTATGAGATTATGTTCTCTACTGTCATCCACCCAAGCTATTTAAACAGTGGTGCTGATGCTAAAAGTGCAGCCCTTTTCCTCAATTCGATTATTCCTACTAGCTCATTTTTAGCACAACCACTCAAAATAGTACAAAAATAGTCAGTGGCAGAATATAATCATCATAAAATAATTTTCTTGCATCAACATTTAGAAATTTCTTAATCTTAGAGAGTAAATGGAGTCTAGATGATATTGATGAACATAAGTAATTAACATGCCCTGTCCATGATAGATTAAAGTCATTATATTGAAAGCTATAAACCTCTTGGGGAAGTCAGCCATTATTCTTTTTTGCATCGAATTCCAGCAAAGGGGCTTGCCACATTGCCATGGAGTTATCTGGATTAAGGATGCACCACAACCAGAAGAAAGTTCACTTGCCTCCACAAAAACATACATTGACAAGTATGTTCATACAACGAAGCCTAAGTGAATGGACGTGGATAAATGCATTTTTACATTTATGTTCACTCAATATTAAGTTAAAATGAAATGTATAACTATAAATCGAAAAATTTGATCAGCTTACAATTGTTCAATGTATGTTTTTACACACCTTTACAAATTAAGTTTTCTTAAGATTTTGTCCCAAGCTGATACTAGACAAAGTGTCTTCATGCTAATTAATTTAGGTAAAACTGGAATGTGTTCATTGTTAATTACTAGTAAGTCCCAAATGTTAGAATAGTATTTTTATGATTTCAATATACATCAAAACGATTAAAATTGAAAAAGATCTAATTAACCGTTTAATGATTTTGGTATTCGATGTTCGGTCCATCCGACAGTTAACTAATTAACCATCGACAGCAATAATAAAAATGCACAAATCTCAAACAGATAACATCCCCCATTTCTATTTGTTATTGAACAATGATAGCACTCAAACCCCAAGCAATCTTTAATAACAACATATAGAAACAAACATTTAATTTCAATAGGTTTGAATTAGTACATTGACTCTTGCATAATTACAAGCTGGGGCATCTGTGTCCCATGAACACATTCTTCTTTTATTTTCAATTGTAATCAAACCTTTTTTCATATTTGATGAAGTTCTATAAGAAAGGAAATGTCACTTAAATAGTTGGAAGTATTGTCTGGTAAAGCTTAGCATGAAACATACATATGAATAATAAACAGAAAATTACTATGAACATTTTTATTGAAAGGGCACTTTGCTCCTCCCACTTGTAATGATTTTATGGTTGAGATAGCAAGCAAGGTAAACAAAGATCCGGTTTTTCCCTACACCCCAAATCTGTGCGCTGTAACAGTTTGTTTATAATTGATATACTGAAATTTGATGCATGTTATCTTATAAGTAGATAAATTTGAGAATGGAAATGGGGAATGTGTCAAAGAGACAACAACCCGACCATAGAACAGACAACAGCAGAAGGTCACTAACAAGTCTTCAATGCAGCGAGAAATTCCCGCACCCGCAGGCGTCCTTCAGCTGGCCCCTAAACAAATATATATACTAGTTCAGTGATAATGAAGGCCATACTAAACTCCAAATTGTACACAAGAAACTAAAATTAAATATAATACAAGACTAACAAAGGCTAGAGGCTCCTGACTTGGGACAGGCGCAAAAATGCGGCGGGGTTAAACATGTTTATGAGATCTCAACCCTCCCCCTATACCTTTAGCCAATGTAGAAAAGTAAACGCATAACAATACGCACATTAAAATTCAGTTCAAGAGAAGTCCGAGTCTGATGTCAGAAGATGTGATACCCATTATATAATGAAGGAATGATATACACAGTGATTAAAAAATTAGGTCAAGTTTTCGAATTTGTAAAATAGCACAGAATTTTGCAGATTTTCTTGATTATATATATTGTAGCTTCATTATGTTACACAAGTGAACATTGTCTTTGTTATTGGGTATTTTATTCTTTATGATTGTGTATTTTTCAGACTGTAGGATATTGAGTATTAAACAATAGAAACGATGACCAGTCTTTTGAACTATAATTTTTTACCAAGCCTGAAACAGCAAGAACTTGACTTCTTTGATATTGGATAAATTCATAGATAAACTGTTGACACAGAGATATGTCCCACCCTATATAATTTTGATAGTATAATGCAAATGTTGAAATAAAATTAGCAATACATTAACCTGTAAACTGTGCAAAACATTCAATGTCAATGAACCTAATCTGAAAGTGCAGGGCCAGATAATCTCTAAGGATATGAGAACTACAATGCTAATGCAATTGGACACCAAATATTATTTACTTATCACAAGTGGTTCCCTATAAACTGACCTAAACACAGACTTAAATATGTAGACAATGCAACAGTTTCATAGTCAATTAACAATGAAGAGGGGCAAGACGTATAATCTGCATGGTAATGAGATACCCAATTCTAATACAACGGCATACCAAATATCAATGACTAACTATGAGTGGTTCATCTTAAACTGACCTAATCACAAACTTTAAGATGTGAAAAATTCAAAAGACCATGAACAGTAGGCAGGGCCATTATAATCTCCATGTGCCAATGCTTATACAACTTCATACCACATATCATAGACCTACCACTAGTGGTTCCCTTCAGACTGACTAGATCACAAACTATTACATTGCTGACTCAGCCTCTGCCTGAAACAGCACGCCTATATCTTGCCTTTTGGACTTTGGTGCGGCGAGACAAAAATAATTTTGGGGGAAATTCTAGTAATAAGGAAGATGATAAAACAAATGAGAAACAAACTGAAGAAACTGAAACTCGACAATCAAGAAGATAGGTGAAACTTCCAGAAAATATTGCTACATATAAACAAGAAGAAACACAGAAAAAAAGGAACTTTTACATGCATCTGAATAGGGGAAAACAAAGTAAGACAAAGGACAAGGTTTATATTAAGCCAAATATAGTCTTGAATTTCAACTTTATCATTAAATATAAAAAAAATAATCTCTGTTTCTTAAATTGATTAATTTCAAAATACTTATTGCTCAGTAAAACTTAATTCCTCATTAAAGTAAATTATCATGATTATAGGCTACAAAGTCAACACATTTTGAATATATTGTCAAAAAACAATGATTTTGTGCATTATTGGGACATAAAAGCTTCAAGATAAACCTTGTCCACAACTTACGATTCAAAATGTTCTTTAACCAAAAAGTACCAATCATTATATTGTATCCCTGGACACAAACATTATCAGGATCAGGAGTTCCGGCCAAAGTAAATTATGCAAAAAGCTGTTATAAAATTTGGTGAAATTGGACAAAACTGACGTTACAACACAAATTATGTTTTATGAAGGGTTGACCACTATTTCGTTATTAATAAAGTGATGTGCCAAAAAGAAGTTATTTTGTATCAACGTAATATCACAACTATTTCTACATGAAATTTGTAGTATATTGACCTGATTTAAAAAACATTAAAATTAGATGGGCCAATTTTAGCCTTTCCGGAACCTACTCCTTTGGAAAACACTGAACAATTGAACTTTGGTGGATATATAGTTGTCTCGTTGGCAATATACCACATCTCCTTATTTTTATATATGTACTGAAACATACTCTGCAAACATGGCTTATACAATCATAGTGACTGAAACTGCAGTTAATTGCAAGATTTAGCCTAAAAGTGTGAAATAGTGAGAAAGATAAACGCATGAGTTGCAGTTAAAGAAAACATTCTTAAGGTTGTTTATAAACATCTATATATATGCAATTGATACCTTTGACTCGGATTTTGAATTTGAACTATTGCATGCTGTTTATAGACATGAATATGCAACATCAGTGTTCTGTAGTGCAAGCACCTACTACAAAATCTAAGAATTTCAGAAAAAATGGCTAATGTGACAGCAGAACGTGTACAATCAAACCTGCCTTAACGATCACCTTGTCTCAGCAGTCACCTGTCTCTAACGGTCACCTTGTCTCAGCAGTCACCTGTCTCTAACGGTCACTTTCAGACCCTCCCAAAAGTTTTCTCTAAATAATCTTAACTCTTTTCAGGGGACACAAGTCTAACGCAGTAAGGGGTCACCTTATTTTCCCACAAAATCATTATTTTAACTATTAACAACGGTCATTTTAATATTTTTAACTACTTATATTATCATGACAAAAATATAAGTGTTCAGTATTGAAGTCAAAATGACAATTGGAACCTGTTTGCATTGGAGATTGTGTAATATGAGGTGAATTTGTGAATTACTTGTGTTCTACTCCTTTCAAATTTCCATTGAAAACAGGATCACAAACTTATTTCTCCATGAATATTAAAATAATTAGAAATTTTCTTCCAATTTACAATGCTGGAATCCGCCATTTTGTGGTTAACAATAACTCTATCAATTGAAAACACTAAAACAATTTGCCCGATTCCAGCCACAGCAATGTTCAAATCGGATTTTTTCAAGTCTCATTTAAAAGGTCTTTGAGATCTCTTAAGATCTGCTGCAGGTTTGCAGCAAACAAAAAGTTTGCAGGAAACCTGAAAATATTGTTTGCAGATGTTTGCAGCTTGCTTCAAACTTCCTGCAAATATTGCAGCTTTTTACTGCTAGTGTGCTGCAAGAAAAAAATTATGGTCACAGTAAGATTGGAGGAGAATAGAGAATAAGAAAATAAATCACAGGAACCTTTTTTGCACTGTAGCTTCAAGAAAGATAAATGGGGAATGTGTCCATGGGACACAGATGATGCCACAGCTTGCATATAACCTTATAAAGAAACATAACTCAAGAATGGTAAAAGTGACGCTACCCAAATTTGTACTTGATCTGAGTTTTGAGTAATACACATTGTATATAAGTTTCATAACATTTGGTTGAGGCAAACTTAAGTTAGAGATCGGAAACAAAAAATTCAGCAATTTTTCCATTTGTAAAGGGCATAACTCTAGAATGGTAAAAGTGACGCCACCAAAATTCAAACTTGATCTGTGTTTTGTGGTAATAAGCATTGTGTATAAGATTCATAACATTTAGTTTAGGCAAACTTAAGTTAGAGAACGGAAACCAACTTTTGGACGTACGGACGTACAGACAAGGGTAAAACTTTATGCCCCCTCTGCTACGGCGGGGGCATAAAAATATAGAAAAAACTTCGTATTCATAGCTCTATTATATTTGTTGACATTCAATAAACAGCTGTGCTAGTCTTCCTCATACTTATTTTTTGCAAAAACAAAATGGAATATTAAGAAAACATCATATCAAAAATTAGCAAAATGGTTCAGTAGAAAAACTTGCATACTGATATCCTTAGGTGTATAAATATTGCCGTAAATATGAATTAAACGTCCTATAACCCTTGAACAACAAACCAGAAAACTTCAAAATCAAAAGGGAGTTTCCTTTCATCAATCCCAGGAATAATGTAAAGTTTTGAGGAAAACAATGCTAGCTTAATCGAGTTGGTGAGTGAAACATTGCCTAAAATATGACCATTAAAGTCCTGATACTCTAGAACAACATAACCAATATTTTTCAAAATTAAAAGGATGCATTCTTTAACCAATTCCAATAACAATGAATAACTCATACAAGTTTCATGATATATACTCAAAGCATTCTGTAGTTTTTCTTACACATGTGAATGAATGGACAGATAAACCAACTGACAGAGGTATACCACAATATGTTCGGTTTATGAAATAAACATAAAAGTCAACATGACTGCATCTTTTTGATAGTATAAATAAATATACCTGTCTTTTTCTAATTCTTGTTTTATTCTCTCCCTTTCTTTAGTCTTTTCTGTCCTCTCCTTGGCTAACTGCTCCTGTAATTCTTTTCTTTTCTTTTCTTCTTGGAATTGCTTAAGTTTGGCCATATCCTGTCCCAATTTTCTTCTTTCTATTTCTTTTTGTCTTCTTCCTTCTTCCTCCATTTCTTGTTTTTGTAATCTTTTTTCTTCAATCTTTTGTTTTGCTCTAAAACAGAACAAAAACAAAGTAAAAGGAATATAACTCAAAATATGATATTGCAAAAAAAAAAAATGCTTTATGGAATCGGTTTAAAATTTCCAGCACAAACACATTCCAAACCAAAGTCACAAGTATTTTAATTGCAAGCATGCAGCATGCATTTTTCATCAATCATATTTTGCATGCATACCACATACTTGCGATTCAACAGTTATTGGAACTTGGCATTATGGTTAAGCAATTAAGCAAACCACAATCTGATTTGATAGATTAAGACTGCAGTTTTATTGCAGGATGATTGGGATTACATTGTGGGATGATTATGGTTTGATTGCTCGATGATCACAGAGTCATTGCAGGATGATTGGGATTACATTGTGGGATGATTATGGTTTGATTGCTCGATGATCACAGAGTGATTGCAGGATGATTAAAGTTCAGAAGCAAAAAGATAAAACACATTTTTTTTTATCATTTAAATGTAAAAGTTGTACAAGGCAATTATATTCCTGTACCAAACTTTTCAAATTTCATTAAAAATCTAGTCCAAACGTTTTCTCCTATTTATGACCCAAGATGAGGGAAGATTATCATTTTACCCTAAGGGCAATGACTCCTTTCAGCATTTAATTTATCATTTTAGTAATAACATAATTTTTGTAAATCATGTATTGTTTAGATGTTTGCTGTTAACATTTTCTATTTCTCTATTAGAGTTTTAATTTCAAGATAATAAGCAAAAACATGAAAACTATTCAAAAATATTCATTTCAGGACAATGACTCCTTTAAGAGTCAATTGATGGGTTAAGTCATAATGGGACTTTTGTAAATAAAAAATTATTCTTTATAAATTGTGTGCCTTTTAGTTCTTTCATGATTTACCTTCATCCGGAAAGATCTTGTATATCTGATTATCTTATATGTTTATATTTCTTTTCTATCTACAAAAGTTTGCAAGATAATATGAACAATACAAAAATTGCTGAAAAAAATTGTCATTTAGGGCAATTACCTTCAGAAAAAGTTTTCTGAGGGTCATGGTTGAAATGTTACTTTTGTAGATCTTGTATTGCAATGTATTCCCTATTTAGTTTATTCATATCTATTATAATATTGACAATTGTTGAATAATTGCAGCTTACATTTAGGATAATTCTTTGTTAATTTCCAAGACCCTTAAAGTTTTATATTGGGATTTTACCATTTAACCTCTTCATAATCATGAGGTAAGCATTGTTTTCAACAGTGAACCATAAATTGCTTTCAGTTTAATCAGCAGTGCACCTGTAGTTTTAATTTATTTACAAAGTATCTATTTTATTGGTTTTACTAGCATGTAATATTTGTGTTGCCCTTTTTGCATTTATATACTGAGGAGAGTTTACAGTGCTCTGATGATCAATTCTGATTCAGAAACACATCTTTGTGTTAGTCATTCAGAAACTTTTTATGATCACATTTTGCTACATTTGAAAAAATCTAAAACAGACTTTTTAGACAAGGTTTTATTATACCATTATTCAAAAGTTGTCACATTATTTGTCCTGCCATTGCTCTACGAAGTTATCACTGCAATAAAATACAACTTTTATTACATCTGTTCTCTATTTGTATACTTTTTATCACATATATAAAAATAATTTAGACAGCTTAGGTCTGTGTAGCAGAAATTATAAAGGCCATTCATTTAAAATAAGAACAGCAACTATATTCATATTGGAAAATGGGATAACTCTTGTTTATTGTTTATTATGTGTATGCATGTGCTAGTTCCTAGTTTTTCTAAAGCTATATATTTTAATTACAATGTGTTTTTGAATGGCTTTAGTTAACATGCATACATTGACTATATATAAACATTGTAGATCTTGTATTGCTTATAATAAATATTTGCTCTTTACAGTTTCTTTCTATGGATTATTATTTTTGAGATAATAAGCAAAAATACCTAATTTTGTAAAAAATACTCCATTTTTGGGCAATAACTCCTAGAAGTCATCTGATAACTATGATGGATGACAGTAGGTATATCTGGCATTCTGAGATAATTGCTTTTTATTATGGTTTTAAAGATATTAAGACAACTACTTGCATTTTCCCCTTATGTTTAACATTAGCCATGGTGGTTATGTTCGTTGCTTGGCAGTAACAAACTTTGTACATTTGTACTTTGTGCATATACTGTTAACTTAGGGATGATGATGGATGGCTTTTAAACATCCAAAGGCAAATTGAATGCATATTCAGGACAAGAACATGTTAATGCAATTCGAATATGAACCCTGATTTGCACTAGACCCGACAAACTGAACCAGAATTTTAACTTGCTAGTTCACAAGGTAATAGTCCACAGGAAGACATGTCATTCTACTCAGACACATTATTCTGACTCCAAGCCTACCAATATTTGATCTTACTCCTTAATACCACATGCTTAGAGAAGAAGCAGCAACTATCAACTTTGAAGTCTTTGGTTTCAACTGGATTGGGATTAAACCCACATTACCCTATCCTGCACTCTAGGAGAGCATGCTACCACAAAACAACTGAGACCGTTCTATAGCCTAATGTTCATGGAGCCATAGTTTGGTTGAAAAAGAGGGTTGAAAGATACCAGAGGGACAGTCAAACTTATAGATCGAAAACAAACTGACAACGCCATTTGGTTGAAAGTGATGCAGTGGTTTCAGAAGAGAGACTTTTTGAAAAAAATTATGAAAAAAAAATGACCATCACCAAGTGAAGGCAACAGCTCACATATGGCCCGAGAACACAGTTATTTTGTAGTGCATTTCTTTTAGACAATAAATTCAAATTAAAATAATCGCACCTGCTCTATCTCAAAAAGATTTTTACAGTGTAGTGTACTACATGTACTACTATTGATACAAATAATATAAAAAATTATAGAAACTTCTACCAGCAATAACTCAAAATATTGACAATTCTGTGTTAATGGGGGCTAAAATTCAGTTTGACAGCTTCAGACATTCTAATTTTTGACCTTTTTTAACTGGACCAAATCACTACTTAACAATAAAGATTCAGCACCCAAATTTTTTTAACATGTAATTTCATCCCCTTACTTAATATTTCATGCATAAAATATCAAGAAATAAATTGGGAAAGTGTATCAAAAAAAAATGCAAGTTATACACTGTTCACACTAGGGACTATATTCGTAGACAACGAACACCAAAGGACGATAACTGTGTCCTTGGACCTAATAGGATAGAAAGACTTGACCAATTTTAATTAAAGAACCTTAGTGAGCGCGCTCACATACCCCACGTCCCCACATTGTCACTGGAGACATAAAATAACTGTACGAAAAAAATATTGTATAAGAAAAAAAAATTGAATCATAATTTCCTGTCGATATGCACATCTACATAGTATGTCCTTATTATCTACAAAGTTTCATGAAATTCTGTTGTGTGTTTTCAGAGGAGTTGCGATGACAAACTGTTGCAGAGGTATATTGAAGCAAATAAGTTCAAAGGGGCATAACTCCTAGAAAAAAAATTGAATCGTAATTTCCTGTCAATGTGCACATCTACGTAGTATGTCCTTATTATCTACAAAGTTTCATGAAATTTTGTTGTGTGGTTTCAGAGGAGTTGAGATGACAAACTGTTGCAGTAGTACATTAAAGTAAATAAGTTCAAAGGGGCGTAACTCATAGAAAAATAAAATGCTTCGCTGGGGCGCAGCTTGATACGACCGCAGAGGTCGAACCCTGAACAGTTGGGGCAAGTATGGACACAACATACAAGCTTGATACAGCTCTGAATTTGGATTGTTATTAAATATTTGACACAGCATAGGTTTCTGACACAGAAAGAATGTGGTCTAAGAACTTGAATTTTTTTAATTTACCTATTATGGTCCAATGTCCAAAATCAAAAAACATGGTTAGATTCAGCACATCAAAGAACCCCATATATTCAATTTTTGTTAAAATCAAACAAAGTTTAATTTTGGACCCCAACTTGGACAAACTTGAAAACTGGGCCCATAATCAAAAATCTAAACACATGTTTATAGATTCAGCATATCAAAGAACCCCAAGAATTCAATTTTTGCTAAAATCAAACAAAGTTTAATTTTGGACCCTTTTGACCTCAATATGAACCAATTTGATAACGGGGTCCACAAATAAAAAATCTAAATACATGGTTAGATTCAGCATATCAAAAAACCCCATATATTCAATTTTTGTTGAAATCAAAAAAAGTTTAATTTTGGACCCCAATTTGGACCAACTTGAAAACTGGGCCAAAAATCAAAAATCTAAATACATGTTTTGATTCAGCATATCAAAGATCCTCATATATTCAATTTTTGCTAAAATCAAACTAAGTTGAATTTTGGACCCTTTGGACCTTAATGTAGACCAATTTAAACAACGGGACTTAAAATTAAAAATCTAAATACACGGTTAGATTTGGAATATCAAAGAACCCCAATAATTCAATTTTTGATGAAATCAAACAAAGTTTAATTTTGGACCCTTTTGACCTCAATATGAACCAATTTGATAGTGGGGCCCACAAATAAAAAATCTAAATTCATGGTTAGATTCAGCATATCAAAGAACCCCATATATTCAATTTTTGTTGAAATCAAAAAAAGTTTAATTTTGACCCCAACTTGGACCAACTTGAAAGCTGGGCCCATAATCAAAAATCTAAACACATGTTTAGATTCAGCATATCAAAGAACCCCAAGAATTCAATTTTTGCTAAAATCAAACTAAAGTTTAATTTTGGACCCTTTGGACCTCAATGAAGACCAATTTAAAAAACGGGCCCCAAATTAAAAGTCTAAAAACACGGTTAGATTTGGCATATCAAAGAACCCCAATAATTCAATTTTTGATGAAATCAAACAAAGTTTAATTTTGGACCCTTTTGACATCAATATGAACCAATTTGATATCGGGGCCCACAAATAATAAATCTAAATACATGGTTAGATTCAGCATATCAAAGAACCTCATAT